GAGAGAGAGAGAGGGCGGGGTTATTTTGTTGATGCCTAGTGCATGTTCTATCAATATACAGATGTGTGGCTTTCGGCCCAGTTGTGTGCAGAGCTTTCAGGCCCAGCTGTATTTATGCTGTACATCAAAACTGAACCCAATCAATCAATCAAAGAAAAGAGTAAAGCATTTAATTAAGGAAAAAGTTTATATAAGGCTGCAACATTAAAATGTAGAATCATATGCACCTAAAAAATCTTTTTAATGTTGAGAAGCACCTCTAATTGATCATCTTGACATTGAGATATATGAATATTAAAAAAAAATGTTTTTGAGTTTCAAATATAGTGTATCTTGCAATACATTGTTTAGATCATACATTTTCAAGATTTTCATATGTTATAGATCTATTTGATTTTAACTATTTTTGAAGTTTAAAAAATTTTAATTAGATATGAAAATAGTTTTTAAGATAATCTTAAGAAAGTTTTACAACAAAATCACGTATTATGATAAAATTTGGAGGTGCGCTTTAATTGGATTGTTGAAGGTTGTAATTTTATAGAAACGGCGCCTTTTAATTAAGGGAAAAGTTTATATAGAGTTGAGATTCTAAACAATCAAATTAGAACCTACTTCAACTTTCACTAGAAGATGTTGTTTTAATACCTAGAAAAGTATGTCCCTTTGTAAAGAAACTAGTTTCTGGCAGTCCTTTCTATGTTTTCCCTCAAAATACTCGGTTTCTTGAAAATCAGAGCTGGCTTTTTAATTTTGGTTGATTTTCAATTTGAGAGGTGACGTAATGGCTTAGGGTTTCTATTGTCATATACTATATGTAGAATATACTGCATTATACATGGTATGTGGTTTGTATAGAGCCTAGGCTGTAAACCATCAAATTAGAGCCTACTTTCAAATAGTGTCGAAAAATGTAGTTTTAATAATGAAAATCTTTGGGATAGCCTTAAAATATATTTTCATATTTATTTATAAAGTTTAAAGCTTAAAAAATAGTGTAGATCGACAAAACTATGAAAACTTGAAAATCTTGAAAATTGACGATCCAAAAACGCATTACAAAATACACTATTTTTGAAACTTAAAATCCATTTTTTTCTCATATCTATGCATCTTGATGTTGAGATGATCAATTTAAAGATATTTGAGCATCAAAACAACTTCTTCTAGTAAAATTTTTGAGATAGGCTCAAATTTGATTATTTAGAGCCTCAGACTCTATATAAACTTTTCCCTTGTACAGCAAGAGAGAAGACTCCACTGTCCAGAAAATAATAGTAGGCCCAGTTTGAGATGTGTACAGCATGTGACAACTGCATAAAATATTTGTTTGGAAAAATAAAATAAGGGTGGGTATGGCTATAAACAAAGAAATGTTTTTTCCTCCCTACGCAATGCACCATTAAATGCTCTCTCTCTCTACCCCCTAGTGGCAAAAAGATTCATATGGGGGACCTCAGCCCAATAATTCCAATGGTTTCATCATTATTATAGTTTAATTTTTTAAGACAAATACAATCTTGTTTTTTAATCTCTCTCTCTCTCTCTCTTTCTCTCTCAGCTGCAAGGGGGAACAGTTAAACAACTGCAACAAGTTCCAACCTTGTTTGTTTCTTTGTTTTTATTTTTCTCAGATCAGCATAGTAGCAGTTTTTGTCGTTTGAGGGGAAGGATTCCCTCAAATTTTCCCAACTCAATGTTTGTTTCTGTTGCTTTTTTACAATAAGTGTGTTCCTAGGGTTGTGAGATCGGTGGTTATTCATATATTTGTTTACCACAATTACCATCAAGTTTCTTGCAATAAACTACATCATAGAACACATCCCCATGAGCATACGTTGGAAAAAGAAATAAAACAGTAGCTTAGTTCTTACAATTTTCAAGTCAAAAGGAACAGTAAGATAGAGTCAATGAATTCATCTAGTCGAGATGAATGTGGTAGTGGTTTTGGGATCCCAATAAAAAATTAAAAAATAAATGGCATCTAGGCTACTACAAAATACTATTGCACTCTATAAAATTGAAAGTTCTCATCAGATCCCGTAAGTTGAAGCATAATATGATATGAAACTCAAATTTTCTGTTTATATGGGTCCACTGTTACTTTTCACATTGATAACAATAGAAGTCTTCTCATTCAGCATCGACTGATTGAAAATGTGAAGCTAATCTGAATTTGAAATAAATTATTTCCCCTAAATAGAATCTTAACTTACCCGACAAGACTTAAGGCAAGTTAAGTTCCCATTAATTTGCAGTTTGGCTGGAAAATGTTATCCCAGTGGTACGGAATTTTAGCAGTCAAGATAAAAAAGAAACTGTAGCAATTATATACCTCTTAAGTATACAAGGAATCCATAACTGTTGTATTGTTTATAAGTCAAAAAGCTCCAAACATCTAATCATTATCAGGTGCATATCTTAATTCCATGGAAAAAATTCATCTTACCTACCAAAACAGATACAGTTGAGAAAGTTCCAATAAGAAGCTACTGTCTCCAGTATTAGCAATTTCAGCAGCATTAGAAGGTCTGACTCATAAGAGCAATGCTCCTGCATGCATCTCTATTCCCCAATTTTTCCAAGCAAAGGCAAAAATATTGATTGGGTAAAACTTTCATTGAGAATAATGTTGGGCAAATTACATTGAAATCGAGCCGCTTGGCTGGGTCTAAGTTGTGTACTTATGACAAGGTTGGCAGATTTGTTTGATCTCTCTTTCCAGTTGATAAAAATAGATTACCTGTAACTCATGTGGGCCCCATTAATATACAAGATCCATGAACCTTGATACCATGTGAGCTTCTTGATTAGTCCTGGGCTTGGCATTAGACTATAGCTCTGGACGCCCAGATAGAAAAAAATAGTGAAATTCCTCTGGGTACATTGTTTTAGTGTACACTGCATATTTTATCCATTAGATCCTTCTGCTCGAGGGGAATTGCTGAGAATTTCCTTTGTTGCCAGGGCTCTGGAAAGCACCAAAGAAAGTTTATTAGAATACTCTTGTTAAGAAACCACATGGCCATTACCGAATTAAAATTTATTAGAATTGAAGAGAAAGCTTCTTCTGAAGAATCACATGCCCATTGCCATATATGAACTTGCAACTGAAATTTCAGATTGAGGCTTTACAGCAGAATATTATATGCAGATTTTGTTTAGTGGGAGCATACAGCAAAAAGGGAAAATAATAAAAAAGATTGGGCCTGAAAAAGATAGGAGTTAAAGATTGGGAGACAGCTTGATTCATAATCAATGGGTACTGACAGTTATGCCAGACTTCCAAAAAAAGAGGTTGACAGGACGTGCCTCACCACATTCATTACTTATTTAGTCACATTCTAATTTTATTTTTGGAAAACATTGCATGAAATTACCGAAAAGTGATCAAATATCAATCTTATTTGAGGTTAAAATGGTATCTGTCACAGATATTTCCCATGAGGGATCAATCTTTCGACCCATTTCCATTGTTCTAAAGAAAAGTTTTTCTAGGCAAAAGATGTTTTTTATTTTATGCTCCGTAGTACTTCCAGTTGTTATGAACTTGACTGGAGGGAAATCTACTTTGTCTCTAACTTTCAGCCCATAATCTAAATCTCATTAGTTTGGCCCCTATATCTTTCAGTTCCAACCAATTGCGGTAACATCTTTATTTCATTAAGTATTGAAAATATTTATTGCACATTATTCATCTACAGAGGAAAAGCAAGTAACAGAGAAATGCGTGCTTGTCAAGTTAATATACAATTATGAAGAAATATATAAATTTTTAGTAAATGCTAGAAGATCCGAAGGAAATAAAGGAAAACCCAACCTGCAAGCAAGATGAATACAGTCTCTGTCTAGAAGACCTAACAATCGGCCACCCTTGCAAGATTCAGAATGTTCTGATACAACGGGAAGTTGATTCAAGTCATATTTGTTCATAATCCTTTGTGCCGAGAAAAGGGTCATACTAGGAGTTGCTGTCCACAGTTTTGAATATCTCCCTCCATTACAGTGGTAAATCTCCCTCACCTGCTTCAAGTGCTTATAAGGACATATTATGAATGAATAATTGAAACAAGGAAACCGTGACAGGATTTGAATCATGTTTGTCTTCATTTTGTTACTTATACATAGGCTATAACTGAAGCCTAGTGGTAATGAACTCTTTTGTAAAGACCCATAGGCTGTGGATTTGAATACATGCACACAACTAAAGAAAATGGAATTGTAAGTCCTCTGATGATACTGTGAAATTTTGTTCCCACCCCCAAAATGACCCAAACTGAACCTTCTTTTCCCCAGACAGCAATTTGCAGCTTTCTTCATTTTATGGAGAACAGAGTTTCTCAATATTTAGTGAAAAAAATTAGGTCTCAATTCCACCGAATGCGAAGAATTTAATTAACTCAGGTTTCACTAAAATCGTGGTGATGAACAGATTATTTGAACTTAAAACCATGAATATGGACATAATCTTTAGTGATAAGTGCTATGAAGAAAAAAATTAATTCGTAACAAAAATGCCACATGAGTTGATGATCATGTGTCACATTTTAAAGCATCATCGAAGGCTCAAAAGCTATTAAAGGAACAGCAAAGAGTACCTTGTATTGTTTGATATTAGCTTATAGTAGTCAATGGGATAAAGAAAGAGAACTGTGACACTGGATGTTTTGATTGATTGTCTTTAAATCTTATGGCACTCACATCAAGGATATACCATTGAATATCTAATAAGTAAAAATAAATTAGTAGGAGAATGGAAAATGAAAATGAAAAAAGGAGAATGGAAAATGAAAATGAAAATGAAAGCCAAAAAGAACACGGAGAAAAAATTTGGGAGGAGAAAAAGGATATGTACATTATAGCTGTAGATAATTCCAGTACTGTTGCATGCGTGGATAATGATCTGGTGTTCGTGAGGGGACAATAAGTGACCTTCTAATTTGGAAGGATTAACCATGTAAGATGTAGCATTACATTATTAATGGATTTTTCAGGTTTGATTCATCCCACGCCCCACACCCCCCACCCCCCAAAAAAAACAAGAAAATGGACAAGAAAAAGTAAAAGGAGAACGGAACAAGTTTTACGCTTTGGGATACCTCAGCTTGCTGTCTGCTTGCTCTAGCTGATTTACAAAATTGTTGTATATCTCCAAGTGTAAGAATTCCAATAAGAAAGTCATCATTATCAACTATAAGTGCACAAGGCTGCTTCTCCACTAGCATGAGAGATACTGTTTCTGTTAACAAGGTGGTCATAAGGATTGATATGTATCTTGTTCTCATTGCCTGTGCAACAGAGATTGTCTCCTCAAAATTTCTTACTTCACTACTGAAATCCTCTACACACAGTGAACTCTCAAGTTCGCATAGGTCCGAAGTAGATGAAACTTTGGTAGAAGTAGACACAACCAAATCAGGGATCACCTGACCTGAATCTGAATCAGCGTATAGAGTTTGATTACTACTAATAGACTTTGTTTCCAAAGATGGAGCTTTAGCCTGAAAACCTTCTTTTTTGCTTGTCATGTTATCCTTCTTTCTTGTCAGGTTAGATGCAATCCACGACGATAGCCCCACAGCTCCCAGTAATGGTAGAACTATTCGGTAGTCCTGAGTCAACTCAAACAGAAGTAAAACAGAGGTCAAGGGGACCTGACAAACCCCAGCAAGAGTAGCAGCCATTCCCACCTGTCAAAGCAAAAAGCTTCACAATAAACACTTGTTGGATTTCAACTTGTATAGGCATTTTGAATAAAAAATTTCCCATTAATACTAGGTGCTAGTCCTTCTGTTTAAGACATGCATATTGCTGAACAAGGCTATAAATCCACAAGCAGCCAAATACAAAGTCCATTCAATCCAACTGGTTGGATGAAGATCATGAAATTAAGAGGAGAGAATGAAAATACAGAGAAAAAATAGGGAGATTTGAATATAATGGGACGTATGGACCCGATATGAACATATCACGAAATTGAGATAATATTGTCGAAAAATTCATGTCAACAACAAATTACGGGTTGTAGTCCACCTCATGCCAGTTCAATCCAGAAATACTCAAAGAGGAAAATGATTTCACTTTTTACACTAGAGTTTACATGCAGAAATGAACGAGTAGTGTTGCATTAATCATCCGACTAAACTTGAAACAAAACAAAAAATTCAAATTCACTTCTTTTGCATTTAAATTTTCCTTTAGTTTTTTGTATCAATAGCCCAGTGACATATTAACAGCAAAGCAAAATGGATTGCACTTCAATGAAATACCAGAAATCATGCAGATTCTAACTATCCTACAAAACAACAATACAAGAAAAATAAACTCAGTGAGCGCATCAGAATAAAGATGGGACCAACCTTGAGGAATTCTCTAACTTAAATAAAGCAGTCAAGGTTACAGAAATAAAAATGGGCAAGATCTCATACTCTTCATTCATCACTCTTCTACAACAGCTAAGGAGTTCACTATCAATTACAAAGTCAAGTTAAACACATGCAACAAAGGAAAAGCTTTCAGATAGTTACCAGCCCATATGCTTGCGGTGATGCGACTTCCAAAATGGACAGATTAAACCAAGGATCTGAATGGGTGATCAAATAGCTTGCATATTTTCCATAGGCCATGCCTGTTGCTGCACCAATGAAAAGAGATGGTGCATAATAGCCTCCTACCATTCCTGAAGCCCGGCTTAATGATGTTGCTATTATTTTTGCCCCTACTAACTGAAGCAATAAATCAGCGGGAAGGCCATTCACAAACGGTCTTGATTCAAGCAATATATCCACATTCTGAAAATCCCAATAAAGAACCTCGGGATAAACTAGAGCTATCAGACCAACAGACATGCCTCCAATTATGGGAAACACAGCCAATGACATTGCTGTGTTCTTTTGAAAAGCCTCGACAGCTGCGAGGGCATACGATGTGCATTTGGATAAGGCTGTTGAAACCAACCCACACAGGACACCCAGCAATAGATAAAGTGGAAGCTCTGAGAAGATTAGTAAATGTAAGGAACCAACGTGAGATAATTTCTTATCATCTTTGAAAACTAGATAAACAACTAAGAATTCAAATAGATTTAATAACCTGAAATTTTCATCAAATTGAAAATAATGACTTCAACCTCAAGGTGCAGAAATGGTGCAGTAAATGAAAATAAACAAATAATTAAAGAGCAGTAATATACCACTTGCAGAACGAAAATCATAGTCTGGAACTCTGAATGCAGGTACAGAACCAAGGCCAACCTCGGAAACCACAGATGCAATTACAGCACTGAGTATAACCATTGAGGTTGCATTTGAAATTGATGAGGATGAATCAGATGGCGATGGCCACAACACAGATTCCACAGCAAAAAAACAGCCAGCAACAGCTGCATTGAAACCTAAGACATGACAAAAAATCTTTAACTCATATAAAGCACATAAAGTTTCACAAAGAAGTCAATCCAAATAAAAAATTACAGGAATAAGCAAAGAGCCGAGGTGTGTAGCTAGTTCATTGAGCGGTGCAATAGAAACGTTTTAATTCTTTTGCAATAGACTAGGAAAGTCAGGTTGTTCATACAACTTGTTTAGTTTACATGAACACTCATTGTAAACAAATAAATCCCAATATGAGTTGCAAGAATGGATATTTAGAATTCTTTGTAGGGACAGAAATGATGAGAACCTGATGAGATTCCAGCTGCTGATCCGGCAGCTACAAGGGGTAGCCTCCTTTCATTGCTCCTCTGAAATACAGCAGCCACTCCTTTGCCAATTGACGATCCGATTTCAACACTGGGTCCCTCTGGCCCCAATGAATTTCCTGTTCCTAAGGTGATAGAAGCCGCCACTGCCTTCAAAAAAGGCTTTAAGGATGCCTTCACATTAGATGGTAGGGTCCCTTTTGAAGGTTCTTCGAGTTGGTTTCTAAGAATATTCAATAATCCCACCATGACCCCGCCACATGTAGGCACAAAAATTACTCTTTTCCAATTTTCCTCGAGGGGAGTTTCCCTTAACCATGAAGCACCTCGTGAAGGAATTCCATCCCAAAAGAAATCACGTACTTCATGCACCTAAAACATGAGTCCACATTGTCCTTCAGCATCAACAATAACTAAGTTAGCATACATGACGATGACCTTAAAAAAAAAAAAGGAACCTCTAATCATGCAGTTTCCTAATGCTTCTGATTGAAAACTATCAACCCATTACACAGAAAGATATAATAAAAAACAAAGAAAACAAACACATTCAACATAATTATATCCTTAGGGTGAAATTTTGAAGAGTTTGAACAGAATATACAAGTTCAAATGGACTTCCAAAACTGAGAGAAAAATGAAGACAAGGTATTAATTGACCTATTCATTTGTGTTACAAGCTCTACTGTACAGTATAGAACTAACACAGAGTACCACTAGAGAGGTCATGCCTAAAATTACCGCTAAGTGGTAATATCAACATTCTACTTAGCAAGTGAACATGTATATCGCATGTAGATCCTTAATTACATAAGAATAAATAAGCACTAAGGACCACAGGGCAACCAAATGACATCTAACAATTGAGGTTCACATAAAACCCTATCACTTCTGCAACATGAAGCTCTAGACTCTAGAGTGATCTCAAGTCACAATGCTATTATAATAATAAGATGGAAGCAATTTTTTTTTTTTTCTTTTGAAATTGGGAAGCACTAAATTTCATTGATTGACATAAATGCATAATTGATTCAGAAAAGGGAGGGAAATCATACCACATTATTGAACAAAACCACGCCAATTCCCGTGAGGAGGCCGATAAAGCATGCACTGATGATTGCAAAACCTTCAGGTGGGATCATTTCCCCAAAAGCCAACGTGAATTCCCCCAATTTATCATCCTCCTCATCATCACGCATCTTCTCCAAATTGTATCCTCCCCCTTCTGATTTCCCCTCCTTCTTGTCGACAATTTCGAGATAATTCTGGTCACTGTCAATGTTACTGAACCCCCCACCACCCATTTCTGGTAATTGACTGAAACATAGAAACCCCAAGTCGATTCGACAGAGTCGATTCAGAATTCTAGGGCTTCTAATCGAGCTCAACCAAAGCGGCCTGTTGAACCCAATTTGGGAAAAACTCTCAGAATAGTGGCCATACGAATCATATGGAACCTTCATGGTGGGCGAAGTGAGTAAGGAAGGGACTGTACAGAGACAGGTTATGGCCATTGATAGAGCTTGAAAAGGACGGGGTTTAGTTTCAAATTTTGCAGAGGTTCAAAAGAGATAAGAGTGAGGAATGAATTGGTGAAAGAATCGAAGAATAATATCTTTAAGAACTGAATTGCAGGAGATGATGGTCTATTTTCAGGTAAGGAAGATGAATTTAGAGGGAGAGATTTGAAGGAAGTGGCGGGAGTGCAAGGGTAATATTAAAGGGTGGGCCATCCAAAACGAGTGGATAAGGTCCGTAACCAATTTTGAATAAAGATTTCATGCTCTCGCTGGAGCATACTGTCCATTCACACCTTCGGGTAAAACAATTTATATTTTGGAGATCTCAAATTTTTATTTTGACGGCTTTAGCCTCCGGCCTCCAGTAAAAGAAAAGGTGAGGTTTGTATAAGGTGCAGTCTCCGATACAAAAAAGGTTTGTATAAGGTAAGTAAGGTGTAGTTTTGAATTCTATTGGAAGATGTTTTTCCAGTGTTATAAACTTTCTTATGTCTCCAAAATATATGTTTAACCCTAATTATAAAATTTAAAGTTCTAAAAAAGATGTAGATCTGAAAAATTTATAAAGATTTAAAAATCTTGAAAATAGATTGTTGAGAAAATTTATTACAAGATACATTATTTTTGGGACTTCAATAATTTTTTTTTATATTCATATATCTTAAGGTCAAGATGATCGTGGATAATTTTTCAACTTCAAAACACTCTTTCTACTATATTGTTGAGGTGCACCTTACTTCTATAGTGCAAGGTTGCAACTTTATATAAATTTTTTTTTAAAAAGTAAAATGTATATGTAATCTAAGCCCCCTATTTTTAGGCGGTTAAATTTAAAGTATTTCGGGAATCAATACTCAATATATAAAATTATTTTCAAAAATACTATTTTAAAATTGAATAAAAACTTTGGGCTTGTTTGTACCTTGAAGTAAGGCGCACCTCCAAAATTTGAGGATAGTTGTGATAAATAGTCATTTTGTATTAACTTATTATAAGATGGTCACTTTGTAGACAATCTTTTTTATTAACTTATTATAAGATGCATTGTTTTTAGGACTTGAAATTTGTTTTTTTATATCCATACATCTCAAGGTTGATCATCTCAATTCGAGGGTTCTCCAATGTCGTAACAATCTCTTCAAGAGATATTTGATGTGTATTTTACTTCAATAGTATAATATAAAATTTTTTCCAACTTTTTGAAAAAAAAAAAACTCAAGTAAATGACTCTTTTGCTTGTAGAAGTGTGCAATGTGCTCTTCTTGGGATTACTTTTTTGTTTATTTCATTTTATTTTAATCAAATATTTTAGTTTATTCATAATTCTAAGTTCTACCATAAACTCATGCGTTTTTTAGCTTTGTATGATAACCTGGTGTGTATTATGTCTGCCATGTGATTCAATAAACACAAAATTTCAAAGAGAAAAGAATTTCTCAGGCTTTGTGACTCAACCCAAGCCATTAGCATTTAATAAGTGAGAATGATTATGACTTTTATAAAATAAATGATTCGTAATAAAAAGAGATTTATGCTCATATCTTCCCAGATATCCATTATTACTGTTTCCCCTCAAATTTTATGTTTTTATATTTATATCCATATTTTTTTATTTTTTATTTTTTTTTCATTTTTTTTAAAAAAAGTACGGTTTCTATAAGGTGGCAACCTTAAACAATCCAATTAAGGCGCATCTTAAAATTTTATCATAACATAATTTTGTTATAAAAAATTCTCAGTATTATCTTAAAATCTATTTTCATACCTAATTAGAAAATTTTAAATTTAAAAAATAGTTAAAATCAAGTATATATATATATATATATATATATATATAAATCCTGAAAATGACGGTCTAGATAAATGTTGCAAGATGCACTATTTTTGGGACTCAAAAACTTTTTTTTCTTCATATTCATACATTTCGATATCGAGATGATCGACTAGCGTGTTTTGTCAAAATTAAAACAACATTTCCGATATATTTTTGAGGTGTATATGTGATTCTAAGGTTGCAACCTTATATAAACTTTCCCTTTAAAAAGTGCCCCATCCAAAAGGGTAAATATTTTCTTCTAATCTATTACGTGACAATAGATTAGAAGAAAATATAATATTTATATCGTTTGGGTACATTTTAATAGTAAAGAAATGGAAATACATTACTTGAGATTAGAGAAGATTTTCCCAAAAATCAAGAAATCCGTGAGGGATAAAAAATCTATTTACGACGTTGACGGGTAATCTTTGGAAATATTTGGTGTGTGTCTCTTTGCTCTATCCCCATTTAAAAAACATTTCCCTATCTCAAATATACTTGTACTTTATAATTATTAAGGTAAGTACAAAGTGAGAGTAGGGTATATGAAAAGGGGAATTTATATTGATTTGAATAGGGTACGGGGACAAATTTCTATTGCAATCATAATAAAATTTTTTTACATCCCTCTATCCCGAATTTCAGTTATAGCTCTCATTTGATTCTCATATAAAAATAAATTTTTTTAATAATTGGTAAGTGAAAGTAAGGAAATTTAAATTGATTTGAACAGTGGTAGAACTGAGAGACAAAATCTAAATTGATTTGAACAGTGGTAGAACTGAGAGACAATTTTCTACTGCAATCATAATAAACAAATTTCTACATTCTTCTATCCCCAATTTGGGTTGTAGCCCACCTTCAGCTCTAGTATAAAAATATAAATAATAAAAATAATAATTGGTAATCGATAAGAAATTACATAACACAATCATAATAAAAAATTTCACACAACATAATCCTCATAAGAGATTAGTAAAAGCTCAATTGAAATAAGATACCTCTTTAGTCTCCTCCAATGCTTCAAGATTTTTTAGTCCAATTACCAAACTTTCTAGTTTACTAATCAAACTTGTATCATAAAGATTTTGATTTTGGTATCATAAATTTTTTGCTTATAAGGCTTATCACAATAACATCATGTTATTCCAATGACTTACCATGTTGACACCAAAGTCTAATCATGTTAGCCAAACATAGCCATATTTTTCATATTTGGATGGTAATGCATCTCTCATATTTCTTCGAGACATAGCCAAATAGTAGCAATGTATTTCCCAAGTTGCATCTAAATACTACCCAAACAGTGACAATCCATTTGCAAGTAATGTATTACGGCCGTAATATATTTCACAGATAATATATTTCCAGGTATCTAAACGGCCCCATTCAAAGTGGTAAAAACTCAAAATTTTCATAGTTCAAAGTCAAAATTTGAAGTTCACTTTAGAATTTGAAGGTTTGAAGTCAGAGTAAAAAAGACTTCATGATGTCGATTCGAAGTTTTCGTCACTTTGGACCATTAAGACCCGAAGTAAAAGTTATTTTAGTAAAAGTAAATAAAAGAGGAAAAAAGGGTATGAACGTAGAATATATTTTTACTTTGTTTGGCTGGGGGCAATCATAATAAGGGTGCAGTTGGCATACGGATGCATCCGTAGGTGTAGAGGTAAGGTGCACCTTCAAATTTTATCATGGTATATAATTTTGATGTAAAATGTTGTTAGGATTATCTCAAAATCTATTTTTATATCTAATTATAAAATTTTAAATTTCCAAAAATGGTTAAAATCAAGTAGATTTGAAAACATATTAAAATCTTGAAAATGGACGGTGTAGATAATATGTCATAAAATGCACTATTTAAGAGACTTAAAATCTTTTTATTTTTCATAGTCATACATCTTGATGTCGAGATGATCAATCAAAGGGTTTTTCAACATTAAAACTACTTTTTTCGATGGATTTTTGAGGGGCATCCGTAGTTCTACATTATATGGTAGCATCCTTATATAAACTTTTTCCTTATAATAATAAACACTAGAGGGGTAAGACCATAAATTTCTCTAATAAGCAGGTCTCTTTCTTGAAGGAGAAGTACATCCCAAATTAAAAAATTGTGACTCCAGCGGTAAAAGTTTAGAGGATGTGGTTTATATAAGGTGTCAATTTTAAACAAACCAAATAAGGAGCGTTTTCAAATTATGCCAAAAGATGTAGTTTTGGTGCCGGCAAACTTTGTGATGACCTAAAAAATTATTTTCGTCCCTAATCACAAAATCTAAAGCTTTTAAAAATAGTGCAAATTGAGTAGATTTATAAATACTGGAAAATCTGAAAAATGGACGGTCCAAATTATACGCAACAAGCTGCACTATTTTCAAGACTTTGAAATTAACCTTTTTCCCCATATCTACACATCTTGATGTCATATGATCTCTTGGAGGATTTTGTAGTGTCAAACAATCTGTTTTAGTTGGTTTTTGAGGTGCGCCTTAGTCCTAATTACAAGATTGACACCTTACATAAAATTTTTCCAAATTTATAAATAGGTCATTACCACCTCAATGGTTGTCGATCTGAAAAACGATTTTTAGTCTTACAAATAATTCATCTTGCAATACTTTTGGAACCGTCTATTTTGAGTCTGTTTAGATCACATTTGCACCAAATTTAATTTTCATATTGAAAGGTCAATCTATGATTTTCAACAGACTTAAATATAGGAAAAGGTACCTCTTTGCAAAATTGAAAATTTTTGGATATTTTTTAATTTAGAAAAGGCAACATATATGTTAATATTTTATAAAATTTGACGCACCAAAAAGTGTAGGTCACACGTATATATAAAAAAAAATTGTTTCATACAGGCTAGACCACATTTCTACAATATGTCCAGAGGTATAAAGCATCTATTTGAAAGATGGATGCCAGTAGGTGGCCTATATAAAAACAAATGTAACTAATAGCCCAAATGTTTTTTAATATAATTATTATTTCTAGTT